TCTCGGTACTTTTATGGTGCAGACGTGCCACCAGTCAACCCTTGCGTAGCAGTCTTTACACAAGGGTTCCTCTTGTGGCAACCTTACTACACAAGGATTTCATGTGAGGGGGATCTGCAGTGGCCTCCACAATTCGAATCCTTTTTGCAACAGCCTTTACGCAGGGAGTCCTGCTGTGACGGCCTTACAAGCATGGTTTTCATTGCGGGGGGATTTGCAATGGCGTCACCTTGAGCCCAGGAAAGCTAAAGAGGACAACAGGAAAAACAGGGAACACATGAACAAAAAGCTTGTGTTTTCACATGGGACCTGCAGTGGCCTCCACACTTAGAACCCTTTGTTGTAACAGCCTTTGCAAACAGAATTCCTTTTTTTGTGGCGGTCTTACAAAAATGGTTGTCATTGTGGGGGGAGCTGCACAAAAGGAATCATTGTGTAAAGGCTGTCGCAAACATATTCTGAGTGTGGAGGCCACTGCAGGTACCCCACACTTGACATCCTTGTGTAAGGTTACAACGAAAGGAATCCTTGTGCAAAGTCTGCTACGCAAGGGTTTAATTGTGTCACGTCTGCACCATTAAACAAAAAAACGGCACTCACAGGTCTTCCCTGCGTTTTCATATCTCCCCTGCGAGAGCACGCAATTTTTCAGGTGTATCATGTTTGTTGTCCTGAATTCCTCTCTAGCTTTCCTGGGCTCAAGGTGCCGCCACTGCAGATCCCCCCACAATGAAAACCCTTTTGCACGGCCGCGACAAGAGGATTCCCTTTGCAAAGGCTGTTACAAGAAGGAGGCCAATGCAGACCCCCTCAGTTGAAATCCCTGTGTAAGGTCGCAACACAAGGAATCCTTTTGCAAAGGCAGCTACGAAAGGATTTGACTTGTGGAACGTCTGCACCAAAAAAAAACGGCAGTCACAAATATTCAGCGTTGATCTTGATTTTTCCATGTGCAAGCACATGCTTTTTCATGTTAGAACTATTTTTCCTGTTGAACTCTCTGGCGCTCCTGGGCTCAAGGTGCCGCCCCTGCAGCTCCCCCCACAATGGAAACCCTTTTGTAAGGCCGACACAAAAGGATTTTCTTTGTAAAGGCTGCTGCAAAAGGACTCTAAGTGTGGAGGCCACTGCAGATCCCCCTCACTTGAAATCCTTGTGTAAGGTCGCCACAAAGAAATCCTGTTGCTGCTACAAATCAATTTTAAGTGTGGAACGTCTGCGCCAAAAAAATACCGGTAGTCACAGGTCGTCCGAGCTTGTTCCTATTTGCCCATGTGACAACATGTTTTGTCATGTTGTTCCTGTTTTTCCTGCTGAACTCTCCAATTTTCCTGGGCTCAAGGTGCCGCCACTGCAGATCCCCCCACACTTGAAACAATGCTGTAAAACAGCCACAACAGGAATCCTTTGTGTAAAGACTGTTACAAAAGGATTACAAATATGGGGCGTGTCCATGAAAGGAATGCACAAGAGTTGGGGTAACGATGAGAAGGATATAAAGAAGTTCCTGCATAATCAAAAAGGATAAATCAACATATCATGGATGATCAATGCTTGTAGAACAGAAAAGCGCTGGTTGCAATCGCACAAACGAAAGAACCTACCCCCCACCCACTATCCCTTGCAACAACACATCATACCAAGTACGCCTTGCACCAAAATCTGGATCATGCGCGATCGCTTGGCCAACGGCATTGGTTTTTGACAGGGACGGCGGGGATGCTCACATGATCCGTTCTACACAGGCGCACCATCCCTGGCAAAACACACAGTGCAAACTACACAGAGCGGCTGACATCTGAACCGTGCGCGGGCGCCCCTTACGCAAAGTAAGCGGGCTTGCGACGGGGATGGCAGAGGTGCCTTCAAAATGTCCGCCCTGCGCAGGCCCACCATCTTTGTCGGCACATCATGCACAGCACGCCGTGGCAAAAGCTGGCTCATGTGCGGGCGCCTCGCGATCATTGGGCGTCGGTATTTGGCAGAGGGAGCGGCGGGGGGGGGGCTCATCTTGGCTGCCCTGTGCTGACTCACGATCCCTGACAAAAACCATGCAACGCGCACAGTGCGGCAAAATCTGAATCATTGACCGGCGCCCCGCGATCACTGTGAATTGGCTTTGGCAAGGACGGCGCGGGTGTCCTCAGATTGCCTGCGCTGCGCTTCCGGCGGGACTCACGAACTCAATGGGGTCTGGGCCCCAGGATCGGATGCTGCCTATGTGTTGGGAATGAGGGTGGAAGTGAATGACACGGTTTGCGGATTGGGGTAGCTTGAAACCTACCCCTCCCCCCTCCTGGGTAGTTCGAGCATCCAAGATGGCCCGAGATGGCTTAAAGAGGGCCTCAGAGAGGCCGAGATTTCCCCAAAAATGGCTCAAGATCCGCCACCGTGCCCTGAGGCGCGATTGGAGTGTCCTCGGGTCCTTGGCCAAATCCATTAAGCCTCAGCCCTCAATCCTGAAGATTCCTTGAAGAGCACGGACCCAAAGGGCCAAATCTCCTGGGGCTCTTCGCGTATCTCCTGGGGCGCCCGACGTCGTCCCGCGCGACTTGCTCGGGCCCGAGACGGACCCCAACACGGACCAAGAGGGTCCCAAGAGTTATCCAAGACTGTCCAAGAGGGCCCCGAATCGCGGAACCATCGGTCCAGGACGCCCAAGAGGCGTCCGAGAGCACTCTCAAATAAGCAGAAGTCATGTATTGCCTGTACGTTCTCTAACCTTTTCGGATTCTCGACTTTTCGAGCTTTTGACGCTCAAAGACAACCCAAGAGGCCTCCAAGACCGACCCACGAACGCCTCAGAGGCCCCCAGGATGGCCCCAAAGAGGGCCCCAAGACGGCCCAAGAGGGCTCAAAGAGCCCAAGAGGCGCCCAAGACTACCTAAGAGGGTCCCAAGACAGCCCCAAGAGGGCCCCCAGTGGGGGAGCACGAACCGAAAATTCAGCCTTCCGCCCCAAGAGGCGCCCAGGAAGCGCCACGAGGTCCCCAGGGCCCCAAGAGGCCCTTAAGAGGCCCCCAAGAAAGCCCCACGAGGCCCCCAAGAGGCTCAAACGATGTCCAATGATGCCCCCAAACAGCCCCTCATAGGCCTCAGACACCTGCCTCAAGAAAGTCCCCGAGAAGCCTCGAAGAGATCCCAACGAACATCCAAGAGGCCTCAGGCCCACAACCCAGGCACGGTGGCGTGATGGGCCGGAGGCCCTGAGATAGCGCGAGGTCACTGAAGATGGCTTCCAACCTACTGGAAGAAGTCCAAAGGCCACTCCAAGACGGGTCCAACGGACTTGGGGGCTCCCAAGAAGCCAAATCAATGATGGTGGCCTTCTCGCCCTTTCGCTTCCGATGGCATTCCGAGGCCTCAAAATGGCTCCAAGACGGCTCTAGAGAGCCAGTAGAGGATCCCAAGGAGGGCGTCAAGACGGCCCCAAGAGAGCCCCCAAGGGGGGATCTAATTGAGAACCCCACCATTATTTGATCGATGTCATCCTAGATACCCCAAGAAGACCTACAAGGCTCCCAAGAGGGCCCGCAAGAGGGCCCCTGGAAGCCCATGAGCTGCCCCTAAAGAGGTCCATCCGAGGCTCCAAATGGGTCCCAAAGACACCCCGAGAGGCCCCCAAGAGCCCCCTAGAGGCCATATGAATTCGCTTGGTTCGAAGTCTTCCCCACCACATAAAAACCTAAACCTCAAGATTGAGCGAAGACATCTGCCTCCCTTGTTGCATGGGGGCCAAATCCCCCGTTCTGGACGTACACAGATCCACCAACTTACTTGGATATTGTCGTGGGCTCGGGCTGCAATAGGTTCCTCACTCGTCTTGGCGTGTCGGCGTCAGTGGCCTCATTGTGATTGAATACCATTATTCTTGGCATTGCGTTCCGTCTCATGGTCAACTATGTTCTTCGAATTCTCGGCGTCCAGTCCGTCCCGTTCTTCGCTACGATGCCGTGCCCATTGCTCGCGTCATTACTCGTGCCCATGCTCCTGGCACCTCCTCCTCCTCCTCCTCCCTTTCCGAACGGCATGGCGTTCTCGTGCAGCCGGTGTGTGCAAGCAGCTGTCATTACTTATGGGGCAAGCCAGCTGGGGCCGCTTGCCGCGGGACGAGCGGACGAGCAATTATGATACATTTCCTGAACGGACGCCAGCGAAAGGGACTTCTGAGACCGCGGCGTTGACTGTGAGACTTCGACGATTGCGAGTGGAAAATCGCACTGCGGCAGCCTTGTGGGCGAAGCCGAGCGAGCTTGAGAAATCGGCACCGCCCGTCTCAGAAGTCCCCTTCCCTGGGGTCCCTGTTGGAGCCACACGGGATCAGGGCCTGCGTCTTCGTCCCGCCGGCAGGCTCGTCGCGTCGCAGAGCGCGCAGCGCGCACCCTGCCCAACTTTCCAGCACGCAGACTTGCTGCCTGCTGCACGCTGAAAATCGTACCCGGGGCTCTCGAGCCTCGGGCTCGGGCACGGAGCGGGTCGGACGTCTGGCTGGGCTTCGGTGGTCGTTCCTGGCCTCGCGTGAGGCTCCGGAGGGCTGCACGTGCCAGAGAAGCGCCTGCTAGATTTCAAAATGCCCCTCCTCCTCCTCCTCCTCCTCCTCCTCCTCCTCCTCTTCCTCCTCCTCCTCGGGTCGCCTACGGCCCCGGGGGGGAAACCGTGCAAGGGAGGGTCGAGGGTCCGGATGTCGCCACCCACTTGTGAGGCGGAATCCGTGTCACGCAGCTGGCACGGCGGGCTACGGCGCGGCGGGGTAGTCCCCTGCAGCCAGGAACGCCACCGTTGGCAAGCTCCGCCCGAAAGGGCGTGGCAACCCCTGGAGCGCGTGCGAGAGCGTCGCGTCATCGCAGCCCGCCCCACAGCCACGGCACGGAACGAGGGACGATCTCTTCTTCACGTTCCCAGGGGGAGGGGAGCAAGCTTCGAGGGATTGCCCTGCGATGTCTGGACGCTCTTCTCCAGCTGCGCACCAGACCAGACTCGCCGTCCCTCGCTCTGCCACTGCTAGCGCGCGCTCAGGCTGGCAAGGCTGGCCTTGTTGCGCTCAAGGTTGCCGAGCACGCCTGCCCACACCGAGTCCCACCAGCAAGGTCACAAATGATGCTCGTGCTTAATTGCGCACCTCACGGTGGAGCGCTGCAACAGCCGACTGACTCCCACACCTCGAGAGAGTCTCGAATTTTTCCCCCCGCAGGCCGGTGTTTTAGCATATAACGTTTTATTGCTCTGGTAAACAACAAAGCGTATGAGGTCTGAATTGGCAAAACTGCAGGGTTGAAGAAATGTCTGCGCCCGAAGCCTGGGGCTTCACCAAATGATGAAGGCCCTGTCGCTTGTGGCGTCGGCACTGGCGAACGAATCCTACCACCTCAGGGCCCTCATTGGAAATCGCAACAATGCCCCATACCTGAAATTCACTCCGGAGTAAGATTGCGTTCGATCGCTAGCTGGCAGTAGTAATATAAGATATGAAGCAATACTGGTGTAAACACCGGGCAGCTCGCCCCTTGGCCCCCCGCCAGCCCCACGGCTGGGCCAGGCAGGGCAAGACCCAACGCTGCATCGCGTGGCGCGTGGATGCCCACACCGACCACGACTCCTCTAAGGCCCTACCTCCGCCACCCCCCTTTCGCCACCCCTTCTTCGTCCTCGTCCTCCGTCCTCCCTCTCACCCATCCCCCCACGTCGTCCAACTCCTCCGGCTCCTCCATCCGCCTCCTCCCTCTCCTACTCCCAACTCGTCTTCCGCCTCCTCCGCCCTCCTCGTCGTCCACCTCCTCCTCCTCGTCCGACGCCTTCCCCCTCTCCCTCCTATCCCTCCTCCCCCTCCCCACCAGTCTCCCTCCCCCCCCCCCCTCAGGACGTCGGTATCATCCTTCCTCCACCGCCTCCATCCTCCTCCTCCTCCTTATCCGCCTCCTCCTCCTCCTCCTCCTCCTCCTCCTCCTCCTCCTCCTCCTCCTCCCTCTCCTCCTCCTCCTCTCCTCCTTGGTGCCATCTGCGCTGAAGCCGCATTGGCAGCCCGTGAGCAGAAACCCAGACCAACGAATCCGCCGATCCCTCCTGACCGCCCGTGCGTGGCACATGGTGCTGCTTGGTCAAGTCTGGGAAATCTCCCCATCACTTGCCTTAAAACTGCCAGTAATATATCCTCACAACCCTCGCTTGAGACTGCCAGCGAAATATCCTGAAACCCCTCGCTTGAAACTGCTAGCGAAATATCCTCACCGCCCCTGGCTTCAAACTGCCAGCTAAATGTCCTCTCCCCCTGGACTTCAAACTGCCAGCTGCATATCCTGATCCCCTGGCCTAAAACTACCACCGAACTATTCTCAACCCCCTGACGTGCAAAAACACCTCACAGCCCTCCCTTGAAACTGCTAGCGAAACATCCTCACCCCCTGGCCAAAAACTGCCGGCGAAATATCCTCACCGCCCTGGCTCAACACTGCCAGCGAAAAATCCTCACACCCCTCTGCGAAATATCCTCAACACCCTGGCCTAAAACTGCCAGCGAAATATACTCAAATCCCTCGCTTGAAACTGACATCGAAATAGCCTCCACCCCCTGACTTAAAACTGCCAGCGAAAGAACCTCACATGCCGAGCTTAAAACTGCCAGCGAAATATCCTCACACCCTGGACTAAAACTGCCAGCGAAATATCCTCAACCCCCAACCTTAAAACTGGCAGCAAAATATCCACACACACACACACGCCCCGAATAAAACTGCCAGCAAAATATCCTCACCCCCTGGCCTATAACTGCCAGCGAACTATCCTCAACCCCCGGATTCAAAACTGCCTACGAACTATCTCAACTCCCCTCGAATAAAACTGCCAGCGAAATATCCTCCACCCCCTGACTTAAAACTGCCACCGAAATATCCTCACACCCCGCGCTCAAAACTGCCAGCGACATATCCTGACACTCCTCGAACAAAACTGCCAGTGAAATTTCCTCAACGCCCCTGGCCCAAGCTTGCCAGCTACATCTCCTCACCCCCTGGCCGAATACTGCCAGCGACACATCCTCAACCACCGGGCTCAAAACTGCAAGCGAAATATCCTCACCGCCCCTGGCCTAAAACTGCCTGCTAAGTATCCGCACCCCCTGGACTAACAACTGCCAGCGAGACATCCTCAACACCGGGAAGAAAACTGCCATATGACGGCTTTGGTGATTCAATTGTCAATTCAATCAGTCAGTCAATTACGGACTGCGCCCGTAAAACGACGGTGGACAGAAGTGTCCAGAAATTGAAGCACAGGTGCATAGAATAGAAAGGCCATACCCTCTGCGGCAGAATCCACACCAAACAGCGCCTCAGGACACTGGACTCAGCCTTGCGCACGATACTGCAATACGGTATCCTAAACGATGCGAGAGGCCAGGAGCTGAAAGGAGCAGGAGGAGGAGGAAGAGGAGGAGGGAGGAAGGGAGAAGGGGCAGGGTGCAAGGTAGTTTCACGCGCGCGCCCCACGTCATGTGCGGACTTGGGGACTTCGAGTGTGTGCCAGGAGGGAGGGAGGGAGGGAGGGAGAAGGAGGAGGAGGAGGAGGAGGAGGAGGCGACCAGAGACCACGACCAGAAACAACGAGCCATGACCAGAGACCACCAACGGCGACCACGACCAGAGACCACGAGCCACGACGAGACACCACGAGCCATGACCAGAGACCACGAGCCTCGACCAGAGACCACGACCAAAGACCACCAGCCAAAAACCACAGCGCACGAACCACGACTGTAGTCCACGACCGAGACCACGAGCCACCGGTTTGGATCGCGCGGACCGCTCAGCGGCCTTAGAAAACATCCTTACATATGTATAGATGCACTTCGTTATACAGGTAAAGAAATTTACGCACATCGATATAGATACACCTATTTTCATGTCTATTTAGTATGGAACGATGGATATACTATACACATGTATATATATATATCTACAAGTATACATTCGTACACATATATACACATATCTATAACGATCACGGGCCCTTGTGTATAAGCCGTGTAGGGCACATCTTCGCATAGACTGCAGAGCTCTATTTTCCAGACACTCTTCGTTCGTGTCCGAGCTTGGCTAGCTGGACTTCGTGGCATACAGCGCTTCCAGTCTCGTCGGCACATGCCGCTAGTTGGAAGCCTATCCGCGGGCTCCATGAGAATCCAACGGAGCTCCAGAAAATGCACACGGCCATGCCGCAAGCCACCCATGAGCTGTTTGTTGGCCGTGCACCATGCAGGGCGTGCCCTGCCTGAGAAGTGCGTGAGCAATTGGCGAACTGATGGAAACGAACCTGGCACATGCCATGCACAATCGCCTTCTCGGACCTATCGCAGTATGACGCCCCCTTCCAAGAGCCGATCTCGAAGACCGGCGGGCACCTGCAAGGCATCCCGCTGAGAGATAGATACTACCTGACATGACATGGGCACGAATCCGACAAGCAAGGCTGCTCCACCATGATCCATGTAGATGTTTAGATTCGCAAGGCCCCTCAGTGTTTCAGGCGAGTCCCCCTACAGGCGGATTTTGGACGAAGCATAAAAAATACCCCCCAAATGCTCAAAACATATGCAAAAATGATCAAAAAATCGTCCCCATACTATTTTGTGACTGTTTTTGCATTTTCCCCCTGTAGAGGCACAGGCCCGACTTAACTCGATGCAACGATTCTCGTGCGGCGTAATACTTTGGTTGCCGAGCCCACGTGTCGCGCAGCGTGACCTGCGAAGGCACGACCGGCCGGACATCAGCTCCGGCCCCCCGCCAACCGAGCGCAGCTTTCTTCACGTCCTGATCACGCCTCGCGCGCAGAAGGGATAGCAGAAGACCGTCACCATGCAGCTCGATGCCAGTGCCACTTCCCAACACAAGCGCACCACGATCTCTACAGACAAGAAGCAACAAGAATCCGAGCATGTGGTGCAGCTGTTCCGCAACAAGTGCTGTAGAGAACGAGCCACGGAGAAAAACAGTCCAATGTCTGATTATGCCTCAGGCAATCGCCTTGCGATGGGTGGCGGGTCATCATGAACCTTGCATCACAAAGCGCAATGTTCCATCAAGTCGCGTGGGACAACTTTGCACTGAATTGAACTGCGTTGGAAGGAAAAGAAAATAAGCAATCAGGAAAAGCAGAAGCTGCAAAGCGCCTCGCAACGGTCATGGACTCGCGCTCCGAAGGACCGAGAGTTCTGGCTGTCTCCAGGAACATCTTGGCCTGAAAGGAGGCCAGCGAGAAATGTCACCAAAGATACCCTGAGCAGAGCTGAATTCGCCAGCCCTCCCGGGGCCAACAGGCTGCGAGGCGGAGGTGTTCCTGTTCCCTGGAACAGTTCCAGCTCCAATATTCTAATGATAGGGGTCGCACTTCTGCGCCCAATGCCGTAATGGTTGAAGACCGCGCGATGGTGGAAGCCCGAAAACTACCCCTCTACCATCCCCCAGGATTGCGTTGCCTGACCTTCTGGGGGGGAGCCTGAGACACGCAAGAATGCAGCACGGTCGCGCTCTCGAGGCCACTGTCACCTTGTCAAACAGACGACGCTCGCGCGCCCGAGGCAACACTCCCTTGCAAAGCACGTCGGTGAGGCGATCCCGACGCCACGACCACTTATTTCATGTTTTATAAAAACAGTTGTATACATTTATGTAAAATTAAAATATATAAGCGCTTGTGGATAAAAACATATATACATATGTATATGAATGTGTATACACATTATACATACACAAGGTCCCCGTCCCCATCATGATAAGTGGAGTTCTGAAGCTGGTGGTTGTGCGTGTGGTTGTGCCCGACGTGGTTGCGCTGGTGGTAGTGCTGGTGGTGGTTTTGGTGGTTGTGGTGTTTGTTGTGTTGGTGGTGGTGCTGGTTGTTGTGCTGATGGTGGTGCTGGTGATGGTTGTGCTGGTGGTGGTTGTGCTGGTGATAATGCTGGTTGGTGTGGTGATTGTTGTGTTGGTCGTGCTGGTGGTGGCTGCGCTGGCGGTGGTGCTGGTCATGGTTGTGCTCGTGGTGGTTGTGCTGGTAGTGCTTGTGCTGGTGGTTGTGCTGGTGGTTGTGCTGGTGGCTGTGCTTTTGGTGCTTTTGCTGGTGATTGCGCTGCTGATGGTTGTGCTGGTGGCGGTTGTGCTGGTCGTTGTGCTAGCGGTTGTGCTGGTGGTAGTTGTGCTGGTGGCTGTGCTGGTGGTAGTTTTGCTGGTACTTGTGCTGTTGGTTGTGCTGGTGATTGTGCTCGTGGGTGTGCTGTTGGAGGTTGTGCTGGCGGTGGTTGTGCTGGTTGTTGTGTGCCTGTGGTTGTGCTGGTGCTTGTGCTGGTGGTTTTGTACTGGTGGTTGTGCTGGCGGTTGCGCTGATGGTTGTTCTGGTTGTGGCTATGCTGGTGGTTGCCCTGGTGGTTGTCCTGGTGATTCTGCTCGTGCTTGTGCTGGCGGTTGTGCTGGCGGTTGTTGTGCTGGGGGTCGTGCTGTTGGTTGTGTCGGTGGTGGTCGAGCTGGTGGCTGGTGTGATGGTTGTGCTTGTCGTTGTGCTGGTGGTTGTGCTGGTTGGTTTGTCCTGGTGGAGGTTGTGGCGGCCGCGTTGGTGGTTGTGCAGGTGGTTTTGCTGGCGATTGCGCTGGCGGTTGTGCTGGCAGCTGGTTGTTCTGGCGGTGGCGCTGGTGGCCGTGCAGGTTGCTGTGCTGGTAGTGGTTTTGGTGTTGGTGGTAATGCTGGTGGTGGTTGTGCTGGTGGGAATCGTGCTGGTAAGGATTGTGCAGGTGGTTGTCGTGCTTGTGGTTGGGATAATCGTGGTTGTGCTCGTTGAGGTTGAGCAGGTGGTGGTTGTGCTGTTGGTTCTGATGTCAAATATGGTTGTGGTTGTGATGGCGGTGGTTTTGCTGGCGGTTGTGCATTTTGTTGTGCTGGCGGTTGTGCTGATAGTCGTGCTGGGGTTGCGCTGGTGGTCGTGCTGAAGGCTGTGCTGGTGGTGGTTGTGCTGGTGGTAGTTGTGCTGCTGGTGCTCGTGCTGGTGGTGATTGAGCTGGCGGTGTTCTTTATGGGTGCGCTGGCTGTTGCGCTGGCGGTTGCGGTGGTAGCTGTGCTGGTGGCTGCGCTGCTGGTCGCCATGGTGGTTGTGCTGGTAGTTGTGCAGTTGGTTGTGCTGGCGGTGTTTCTGGTGGTAGTGGCTATGTCGGTGGGTGTGGTGTTGGTTGTGCTGTTGGTAGTGCTGGTGGTAGTGCTAGTGGTTGTGCTGGTGGCACTGGTGGTTGTGCTGGTGGTTGTGGTGTTGGTTGTTGTGCTGGCGGTTGTACCAGTGATTGTAATGGTGGTTGCGCTGGCTGTTGTGCTGGTTGTGCTGGTTGTGCTGGTTGTGGTTGTGCTGGTGGGGACCGTGCTGGTAGTGATTGCGCAGGTGGTTGTCGTGCTTGTGGTGGTAGGGATGATCGTGGTTGTGCTGTTGATGGTTGTGCTGATTGAGGTTGAGCAGGTGGTGGTTGTGGTGTTGGTTATGATGTCAAATATGGTTGGGGTTGTGATGGCGGTGGTTTTGCTGGCGGTTGTGCATGTTGTTGTGCTGGCCGTCGTGCTGACAGTTGTGCTGGTGATCGTGATAGGGGGTTGCGCTGGTGGTCGTGCTGAAGGCTGTGCTGGTTGTGGTTGTGCTGGTGGTAGTTGTGCTGCTGGTGGTCTTGCTGGTAGTGGTTGTGCTGGTGGTATTGTTGTCGTTGCGCTGGCTGTTGCCCTGGTAGTTGTGGTGGTGTCTGTGCTGGTGGCTGCGCTGCTGGTCGTGCTGACGGTTGTGTTGGTGGTGGGTGTACTGGTGGTTGTGCTGGTGATTATCGTGCTGGCGGTTGTGCTGGAAGAACACGACACCCAACACGTCCAACCGCGTAACCACCGGCACGACCACCAACACAACCACAGCGAGCACAACCACCGACGCAACCACCAGCCCAACCGCCAGCACAACCACCAGAACAACCATAATCGCCACCACCAACACGACCACCAGCGCAAGCGCCACCATAACCACCAGCAAAACACCTACCCATACCACCACCAGCACAGACACTAGCACGTCCACCAGCATTTACCAGCATGATCAGTAGCGCAACTATAATCACACCAACCAGCACAATCACCAGCCCAACCACCACCACAATCACCAGCGCGACCACCACCAGCACAACCACCAAACAACCACCTGCACAACCACCAGAACAATCACCAGAGCAACCAACAGTACAATCACCACCAGAACCGCCAGAACGACCACCAGCGCAACCACCACCAGCACAACCACCACCAGCGCAACCACCAGCACGACCACCAGCACAACCACCAACGCAACCACCAGCACAACCGCCGACACCATGACAAGCACAACCACCAGGACAATCGCCAATATAACCACCAGCACAACCACCAATGCAACCACGACCAGCATAACCCTCCAGCACGACCACCAAGAAAACCACCAGCACAACCGCCTGCACGACCACTAGGACAACCACAAGCGCAACCACCAACATTACCACGAACACAACGACCAGCCATTTTTAGGAAAACTACCAGCACGACCACCAACGTAACCACCAGTGCGACCACCAGCACAACCGCCAATGCTAAGAAACTTGGCTAGCTTTCTTGAACCGGGCATCGCAATCTGAGAACATATTATACCCGGCTCAAGGGAAGGAAATTTCTGAACAGAATATATGAGTGTACTACAGGCGCGCGCAATCAGCAAGCCAGCAAACAGCCCGAATCAACTGCCAATATTTAAATCAAGTAGACATCCGATCAGGCAATATGGCGGCCAGCCAACCGACGAGAGCACCAGCCGACCCACCGATCGAGCGTGGCCGCGCAAGCACCGCGCAAGCAATCTGAGGGTGGGGGGTCGGGCGGCCAGAGGGCAAAGCCCTTCAGATGTAACACTGAACAATATTCCATGACAATCACGAAGTCGCAACTCCGATGACAGATACAAATTAGCGGGCGACGTGCGGTATGAATTAAACTGTTCGGGGACGCCTGCCCCCCGGGCGGCTGGAAAGTTTATATCCTTACGGGCAGGCGTCCCCGACGGCGGAATAGTTGACTTTAGACCGTTCTCCGCCCCCTAAACCAAAGGGCTTTCGAATACGACGGCACGAGCCAAGCCTCACAACTGACGAAACAACGTAAGAACAAACGGCACACGTCTTCATGGCATGGTGCTTTACTTGAGCATTTTCACGCTCGAACCACACCAAGTCGCGTGCTGACATGCGCCGTGTGCCCCAGGTGCACCTCGAGAAGCCTCATGCCATCAAGCGGGTGGGAAGCATTGCACGTGCAGCGTCCCCCTGGCTGCCATTTTACTCATACACCTCGAAGTCACTACTTTCTCGTCAGATGGACCCCCCACGACTTCCAGACCCCATCCATCCCTGGGACCTGCATCCCAAGCCGTTCATTTGATCAGCCATAGTGGCGCCTCCAGAACCCAACAAGAGGCGGAATGGGACAAATACGCACCCGTCCCTTCCTGCACCCTGCTGGCAGTGGCCTCCTCCTGCTTCCCCCCCTCTCCCCCTGCTCCTTCCCTCCTCCCTCCATCCAACCACCCAGACGGTCCCACCTGTTGACTGCAGAGTTTCTCCTCCGTGGGCGATGGGGCAACAGCGATCCAGCGTCTCAGAGCGCACCCCGCTCCACCTGGCCGACTCCGACCCCCCTGGATCCAGGACTGCCGACGTCTCGCCCCTGCGTCCGCCGCCCTCCGCCGAGCGTCCGCGGGCTGCCGCTGGCACGGCCGGCCCCCGCTGCACTTCCGCCGCCCTCCGCCGAGGAAGAGATGCCAACCCTGAGGACAGCACAACCCACCCCCACCCCCACCCAGGGCACCCACCTCCGACCTGGTGATCCAGGGTGCCCTGGGTGGGGGTGGGGGTGTGTTTTTGGGCCCCGCGGCTCTTACAACCCACCCCCACCCCCACCCAGGGCACCCTGGCCCACCAGGTCGGAGGTGAGTGCCCTGGGTGGGGGTGGGGGTGGGTTGTGCTGTCCTCAAACCCCGCCACCCCACGAGGGCGAGGCAGCTGCATCTGCGCACGCACCGCAGACATCCGGCGCCCGACAAAGACGGCGCAGGGATCCCGGGGACCTGTGGAGTGGGCGCCTCCATCGACGAGCCGCGTGCGGCGCGTGCGCCCCGGTGCGCCTTGGCCGACGCCGAGCTCCCTGGGCGGC